GCACAACTTCAACGATACAAACAATTTGAAAATCCACAGAACTTCACTGGAACACATGAATATTCTACACAAAATCAAAGCTAATTCTGAGCAACAGAGAATTAGAAACTTTAATAATTGAAAAAAATAGGGTTGACAGCTCTTTTATTTTTTGACAACCAGCAACCTTACTTGTGAAATTTAAAGCATCTTTAGGAACCAGACATTATTTAAGTCGGGGAAGGGGGGGGGGGGGGGGGGGGGGGAAAATGTTTTTGATCCAAAAAATTTTCCAGCCCCCAACCTAATAGAATTCATGTTTTTTGGGTACCCCCTTTCAATCGTTTAAAAAATCCTCCCAATCCTCCTCTTGACCTTTCAAGGCCCCCAATGTTCCACTAAAGGAACCCCCATTTTTTCCTCCATCCCCCCCCCCCCCCCCCCCCGACTTAAATAATGACTAGTCCATTAAAGGCTGTTCAATTGATTTTTACTTTCCAATTTTTCCCTCAGGGTGGTACTATAACCATATCTAATCTAGGTATGTATGGTATAAAGAACTTCTCCGCTGTAATCAATCCACCTCAGGCTTGTATATTAGCAGTGGGAGGTACTGAAAAACGAGTTGTTGCCGATTCAAGCAACGAAAAGGGGTAAGTGTTGTTACTTTGTGATCCTCATTTCCTCCATCACCCCTTTTTATCCTTCTTCCTCTTCTTTTATTCTTTCATTTACCTGATGAAATGCTTGGCAATCATTTATTGATCTGTATGCAGCTTAGCCTTTTATTGTTTTTTGCCACTTAAAGTATCAGGAGGGAATTTTGACCCCTGTACGCAATACCTCAAGTGTCCCCTATAACCAGTCTATGTAAGTTTTTGACACTTGAAAGCCAATATTTCTGGTTCAAATCCTGTTCAAATTTGCCAGACTCACTAAACTTGAGATGCTTTCTCAAATGACAAATGTCTTTTCTAATGAGATTAAAATTCAAAACTCGCCCCAGTCTCTTGCTCATATCTAAAGTGGCTAATTAGATTTGTGAGTTAGACGTGCCTAACAGAACTTCTGTGTAAATTGTCTTTATATATTTTCCCTTACATTCCAGATACAAATTATCAGACACAATGTCTGTTACTCTGAGCTGTGATCACAGAGTAGTGGATGGTGCTGTTGGTGCACAGTGGCTGGTCACTTTTAAGAAGTACCTGGAAAACCCTCTGACTATGCTGCTATAATTCCAAACAGATATGAGTTTTCCACTATTTCCATTGCTATGCACTGATCGAGACAGTTGCACCGTAAAGGTACCAAACAATTTATTTGATTGACAGCAGTGTATTGCCAAATTTGCCTGTTGCGGCGGTTGTCTCGATTAATGCGTAGCAATGAAGAACACTGGTAACAACTTTAAGATTACACCTGTTAGAGATCACATTTTACTTTTGGCAAGAATTCGATAAAAACGTACTTCCATACTTAAAATTAAGTGTTCTTGGAGGGTATTAATTTTATTGCTTCTTAATAAATGAGAAGTAATGATAAAAGGGTAAATTATACACCGTGAAAAGATGAAAAAACGTTTTGGACGCTAGTCCTTCGTCCTTTTACTCTGACGAAGGACTAGTGTCCGAAACGTCAGTTTTTTCATCTTTTCATGACGTAAAATTTACCCTTTTATCATTACTGTGTCATTAGAAACACCAACGCAGCTCACACTAGTTTTTAGCAGGTTATCTCCTCTTAATAAATGAGAAATTCATAACCTCTCCCTCCCCTCCCCCTCCCAAAAAAGCAGATTACATAATGAATGCAAAGTACGAAATATGACAGTATCTATGAAATGGAAAAATGCAAATTTTTTTTTTGTTTTTTGATTCTTGTTCCTTTTGTGGCTGGCCAATCGTTACTACCATCTTTAACTGCCATAAAAGAAGAGTGCTTCTTAAAATAAACTCAGGAAAAATTAGACATAATCTGAACTTAATTTTAAAAAATACATATTTAAAAGAAATCTTTTTTCCCATCTTGGGTAAAAAACATTTCTCAGCAAATGTAGTCATCGTATTCAAATGTTTTGACAATAATAAAATCAAAAGTTGCAATATTTTACACATTTCTAGTTTTGTGCTTATTTGATAGTGGGATGTGGTGTTCTGGAAGGGAGATTCACGGAAAATACTAGTTTTACTAATGATTGCATAATAATGTCTATGTATTAGAATATTTGTTACTTGTTGGCTCAGTTCTCTGTAGAGTGAAGTCATGAAACCTGTGAAATAGATATCAGACTAATAAACATTAGTAGACCTTAATTCCATTGTTTTCTTTTGTGTCTATTTGACTATTACAGATTCACTAGTATTTTTTATTTCACGGGTTAAATGCCTTCCCTCTAAGCTCTGGATCAACTAGTGCAAATAATAAGTTAAATATGGAGGCAATATTTGTATTTTTATTTACGTAATAAAAATTGCGATGTTGAAATATCGTTATTACTAGTCATGAAGGTTTTTGTGTGTGTGTATTTTTATAGCTCTACATTTCACACATATTTCAGCCTTATTAATAATTGCATCAATAATTTGGGTCTACACAGGGATGGCGGAACAGTTTTTAAAGTGGGGAGGGGGGGGGATACAGTTCTCTTCCACTCTTGCTTTTGAGGTGAGCTTTTTTTCTTTTTTCTTTTTTCTTTTCTTTTATTTCTACCAGTTATTTCCTATACAAAATAAAAATGTAACTCTCGTCACTAAGGGGGGAGGGGCTTTCCGCTAAGAATCTTCAATTTTCTACTTAGCGTGGGCTACCTGTGCTAAACGTTCAACGAATCAAAACTTTTGTTCTTTGTACTTTAGATTTCACGAGTATCAAGTAAAAACGTGATTTATCCTGTGTTCGTCGTTCCTCGATCTTCATTTCCACCAAGAATTACTCCAATTAATATGACCAACTTACTCGTAGAGACACTTCAGGTCATTGGCCTTGTATTTTTCCAGATCTTTACCAGTATTTTCAGGTTTTTTATTCCAAATCCCAAGAAAGATGTAACTGGAGAAATCGTCTTTATAACTGGTGCAGGAAGCGGTCTTGGTCGCCTCATGTCCCTTCGATTTGCCAAGCTTGGAGCAATCGTAGTATGTACAGACATCAATAAACAGGCCAATGATGCTGTAGTAGAAGAGATCAACTCTATGGGAGGTAAGGCTCATGGATATAAAAGCGATTGTAGCAATAAAGATGATATCTATCGCGTGGCTGATCTGGTGAAACAAGAAGTTGGAGATGTGAAGATTCTTGTCAACAATGCTGGTATCGTTAGCGGCAAAAAGTTATTGGAAACAGAAGATCGGATGATTCAAAAGACCATGGAAGTGAATACTATGGCTCACTTTTGGGTAAGAGGTTTATTGTGTCTTTAATATGTTCGTGTCTCAGCTGATAAGGTGAGACCGAAGGTCACATTCGTGATGCTGTTCTCTTGCTAGCTAAATTGTACAAATAAATGTACTAAAAATTCCTTTGTATTTGTGCAAAAGCTCAGAATGCAATGCAGTACAATAGTTAATTATTTTCTTGATTAACTTGAGCATTCCTTGTTGGAGGTGAACGCCTACAGATAAATGAAAAAAATAATTTGTTTTTGCGATAAGGTCATGTTTGTAGAAAAGACCAACTTGTAGACTTTGAACCTTTGAGTTACCACAGGTAGCCCAAAACAACGAAGAATTTTATTTTCAAAAATAATATTTCGTTTTGATAAGAGATAATAGAACATACTTGGAAATTTTTGAGGTGGCAAACGATGACACTCATTCTCAGTCACATGTGCAGCCTTTGAGAAAAAGGATCTCACTCAAAACATGAACTTTTTTGGACGTCAATCAAATGCATTTCCATAAAGTTTGTTTCTCTGCCAAATTAACAACTGTTTTGTTTCATAATTTGCAATAGAGTGCAAATAGAGTACAAACATTAAAAGTATGCAACACTTTGCACTATTTAGTAGTAAATAGTGCTAATTAAACAATAGAAAACAATAGGATTAGTATAATTTAGCAGTATTTAGTGGTATTTATTTTACACACTGTTTGTACTCTAATATACCCGTGAAATAGTTAGGATGAAACAGGAGATAGTTAGCACTTATTAGACAAAACAAAGGAATTCAGTGAGGCATGACAAGGGCACGGCCATTTACTAGAGTGACAACTCAATACACAAATGAATAGATACGAAAATGCGAACATTTCAAATTATTTGAAGGAAAAGCATGTACAACAAAATATTGTTTCAGTTTTTGTAAGTGTGTTTAAAAATATTTTAAAATGCGTGCCCTTGAGCAGCACACGTGCACTAAACTATAGTTCACCCGTCATGGCTCGCCTATTTTAACTAATTAGACTTAGGAAACCAAAGGTTAGTAATTAGTTAGCTAGCTATCTATTTCACAGGTATATTATTTGCACTCTATAACTCAGAATTTTTCTGTTGCAATTTGACATGAAAAGAATGTTCTGCAGACAAAAACTAAATCTTTACAAGACTAATTATTGTTAAAGCCTTATGTTATATTGTTTCTTACAAAGAAATCTATAACTTCAATGGGCTGAAGATGATGTCAAATGCTTACCAGTTAGCAATACTAGAACTGATTGTCTTGGGGTATAGCTTTTAACCTAGTTGGTAATAAATCATTATTGGTGATTTCTTGATTTACTAAAAAAATACCTGTTATCCTAAAAATTCCGAACTTCAAGTGGAATTTATTGGCCATTGTTGACTATTCAAACTTTACAAAATGGATGAAAAGTCATTGCCTGCTATCTAGGTGCTGGTGAACGGCGGGTTACCTTAGAAATGCCTTTGATTGATGCTTGCCAAGTTCATGTCTGGAGCGATACATGTTGTCTCAAATAGTCCCCTTCACAGTTCCCTGCGCCATCTTGAAAGGTAGCCATGCCTTTGAACCTAAGCAAGACGAACGGTGAGCTTGCAATGAGGCTGAGACATGTGAATAATTGTCCAAGGTGTTAAAAAAAGGACTCTATCATTGCAAGCTCACCATTCATCTCGCTTCGATCCAAAGGCACAGCTACCTTTCAAGATGGCGCAGGGAACCCTGAAGGGGACTATTGGCACATGATGGAAAACACAGTTATTAAAGTCCAATTTGATATGTGAGTTAGATCAGCTCAACTATATCTTGTCACGCCCGCAAGTCTTTTCACCTACATTCCATTCACCCGCAAATCAAAGTGTGTTTCGACTGATTTTATTTATGCACTGTGTAATCATGATAGTATTAACAATAATATTTGGTTCTCTTCCAGACTACCAAGGCATTCTTACCTGACATGCTATCAAAGAACCATGGTCATGTGGTAACTATAGCGTCATCAGCTGGCTTGACTGGTGTAAGTGGTATGTGTGACTATTGTACCTCAAAGTTTGGTGCTGTAGGGTTTGATGAGTCACTCAGGATGGAGCTTTACCAGCTGAAAAAGACTGGGGTGCATACAACTGTCGTCTGCCCATACTTCATTAACACTGGAATGTTTGATGGTGTGAAAACAAGGTACGTATTGGCATATGTACTGGCATCAGATTATTTTCACATTTAATTTGTTTCTTAAAGTTTTGAAGTCTGAGTATTCTATTGCTTGATTCCTGACTTCAGGTTCAAAATATATCTTTCTCTTTGATAAACCACTGTAGGTTTCCTTTGATTTTGCCCATCCTTGAACCTAATTTTGTCATTGACAACATCATGGATGCTGTTCTTCGCAACAAACCAATGATTTATCTGCCTAAAATTCTCTACACTTTCTTCATCTTAAAAAGGTAAGTTGCATTTAATTTGAAGTGTTTTAAAAGTGTAATTAATAATTCAAACTATCCTCATGTTACATTCAATTGCAATCATATATTTCTAAAGCGCCATCATCCAACATTGAACGATTAATAAGTCTTGAAAAAGCCCGGGGGGGGGGGGGGGGGGGGTACTCCCCTATATTTGCTATACGGGTATGTGCCGCCCTATAGGGCATGGTTTTTCAGCTTTTGGGTCTGGGTCAGGGTATCATTTTTTGACATTTTGTCTGGGACAGGGTGTCATTTTTGTCTGTCGTATAGGCTACGCTTTCTGCCGGCACAAAAACAATAAATACGTTAGTAAATATTGATTGCAATCACTTGTAAGACCATATTTTCCGTCTTTTAGTCTGGGATAGGGTGTACAATTCGTAGTTTTAGTCTGGGGTAGGGTGTGTAAAATCAAAATTTTAGGTCTGGGATAGGGTCAGGGTTTTGAGGTCCTGGCGGCACACCCCTACCCAAGTTGGGGTGGTAGTACCCCCCCCGGGTGAAAAAGACATATTTCAAGGGTAGTTTGAGGACTGTGTTACTAATAAGCTATTAGATTCAGCTTGAGCTTGATATATTTAACAAATAAAACAGCTTTTTCCGTGCTCCATTCAGTAATAAAGCACGCAGGAAGTGGTGTAAGCACTAAAGAGGTGTAAGGAGAAACACAAGCATTTATAGGCGAGTGTTTCTCACACTTCTTGAGTGCTTACAAAGCTTCCTAATATAGTCTATATTGAACATTTTTTTTTAAAGTTGTCTTTTCTTTGTTGTTGTAGCATTCTGCCTTGTTCTTGTTACTATGTTTTGAGTGACTTCTTTGGAATTGGTGCAGCCATGGACAGCTTCAAGGGAAGAACCAAGAAAGACTGAAGATAAAACAGCCTATAAAATAACCACAACACTGTTCAAGTTGAAAATGGAATTTTGAAATGTGATAAACAAATAACAGATGGAAAATGCATCTGAAAATGTGTGAACAAGAAAAAAATTGCAGAAATGAGTGCAAAACAGACTAGAGCAAAAACTATAAACTAATGTGTCAATCATTAGCTTCGTCGAGTTCTTTCTTTCTGTTTCTTCTTCTTTTTTTTTTTTTTCTTTTTGGAAAAAAAAGATAAGATCATAAATCGATGACAAACCAATCTAGCAAACAAACAAAATTTAAGTAATGTTTAATAAAAAGAAAGTAGCAAAGAATCAAAACGGTTTGAGCTTTAAGTAAAAAACCCTCGTAAGAAGATGATTGACAGCCAGATCGATAACGTATCCCAACTTTACAAATCAAGAAGAAAGTTAATGACAGCAGAGTAGAGTGAAGTAAAATAAAAATAAACGTGTCAACGTGTAATATTCAAATAGACACAAAAGAAAACAATGGAATTACGGTCTACTAAAGTGTATTAGTCTAATAGAGTGATTTTCATATGATCGTGAAAGAATAGGCAAACTAATAGTTAGTAGTAGACTCTAAACCAATGATTTTCTTTTGTTCTTTATCAACTATTACAAACTAAATGGTCTATTTTCTTTCACGGTCATATGAAAATCATTCTAACTATTTTACGGGTTTAATGACTTCACTCTAATAGAGATATCATGAACTCTGATAACAGGAGCATGTTAATTGATTAAGTCCTTTGAGTACGTATTTTTTATTTTTTCCATCATGAATAAATACTACAATCAATATCAGTAGAGACTAGACATCGATAATCATTAAACACTAAAATTTTCTTTTATTGCAATTTTGTAGATATTTGCCAAAAACGAGGTACGCATCGTAGCCAATATAGTATTAACAATCATTAAATGGATATAAATGGCTTTGTGCATAAAGGTACATGATTTTTTTTTTTTTTTTTTTTTTTTGCGTAGTTTTGGCCGCAGTCCGGTAATCCGAGATTTACCAACACCCTTCCATTGACCTCGAGTAAATGACAAGATAAATGTATTATATATCAGTGCAGAAAAACCTACAGATAATACTTTTATCATGTCAAGCTCACATGATATCAGGGATTTGTTGAGGGCTTTCGGCCAATGAGAGGCGAGTTAGTGGGTAAAATATAAGATAACAGTACAGAGACGTGCGCTTTTTATCAATAACGTTGCACTTAAATATCATTACCTAGATTCTATGTTATATATATATATATTTAAATAAAACATTGAGACGGTTCACGCCGCGTCAAGTAATAGAAAGAAATCGAAAAGTTTTGGCGCGAAACCAACCGGCGCGCGTACACTGCAGCGAAAAAGGGCGGGAAGTGAAATGGCTTTTTAGCGTATGTTTCCCGCCAAAACAAAGGAAAAATCCTTTGAGCTTTCTGCATACTCTAGATCTTTGCATATAAATTTTTGATTTAAAATGTTTATTTTCCTTTTTATTAACGCAGAAAATGATTTTCGTGTTTTAAGAATGAAAATTGCAATTACTCTATGGTCAAGGACACTACATCGTCAGATGATTAAAGTCCATGAAGAACTATGATCTATTAACTCATTAAGCAAATGGTTAATACCATTAGGTAACAGAACTCAGTAATTGGCTTAAGCAAACGATCTAATTCATACCAAAACATATGCTTTAGTTGCTTTCCTAAGGGCAAAGTTTGTCATTGAGATTTTCCATGTGGAATTGGATCGTTTCGGGACAGATTTCCTGCATCTTTGGGATAATTATACTTGGATATGAAGACAGCAAAGCAGGGTTAATGATACACCATGGTCAAAAGTTTAGCGAAGCTGATTGATATATGTCATTTTTCAATCGGAAATGTAAAGTTCTGTCAGAGATAACTAGATACCGCTGCATGAGTAAGTTTCAACTCAACTCAACTCAACTCAACTCAACTCAACTCAACTCAACTCANCAACTCAACTCAACTCAACTCAACTCAACTCAACTCAACTCAACTCAACTCAACTGTTTTCCACATATTGATTTTACGATTAATATACTATTACAAAATTGATTATATTATTTACAGTAAGGTAACATATTACTAACCATTGATTATACTATTATATTCCTTTCAAATTATAATTGTTTTATAACGCATGATCTAATGCACGCATATCTTGAAAGCATTTTCAATCAGCTTGCTGAAAATATAACCACATTACGTTCGGTACCTTGACTCTGCGATTGGCTTCCACCACTGGTCCGATCAAAAAGCGCAAAAAACAACATGAGTTAGGCCAATTAAAAATTGCGCTTTTAAATATTATCATTTGGACGAAATCTTCACTATGTTCGTAGTAATCGTGGCTGAAGGCAGAGCTGTTTTTGCTGTATTCGAGGCCACTCCTGTCAAAATATTCACTTCAATGACTTTGACGTCTTTTCCTTAATGCTTGCATGCCACGCGAGTAAGCGCTTTGAGCTGTTTTCGACAATGTCATCGTCTAATCACGGAACACATTGACCCGGTCCTGTGGTAATACCTCAGATTTCAAGCGCCTTTCTTCACTCGCGAAGAACAATAGCCTGTCTCCCAATGATCCAAGTGACCCGCTCTTAGGGATCGACTCAACGCACTTAATGATCTGCCAAGTGAAAGGAAAAACTTTGCACGCGACCCCTTTCATCGCGCACTTGAATATCTCTCGAAATACCCCATAGCCCGACATTTTTTTCCCCATTACAAACCAAAAGCTTAACCAAACGAGAAGCAGAACTCGAGTTATAATTAGCAACGCGACCTTTGCCTTCGATTGCCTTCGCGAAGCTGTTGAACAAATTTAGCGAATCGATGTCAAGTGTACCTTGGTTAGTGTATTTTGAACACTTTGGAAAAAAGGATGATGGTTTAGATATTTTTAGAAATTACTATAGCTCCAGAATGGACATTGACTTAAACAGGTGTTTGATCAGTCGTAAATAGACTAGTCCGTATCAGTGGTGCACGTTACATATCAAAACAACTAAATAACGAAAGGGAGGTGCCTTAAGAAGTGTAGAACGTGCTCTCATTAATCTTTGTCCATCACCAACTATCCCTAGCTAAACTTTCGCATTAAGCTTCGTTTAATAAATTCACATCTCGTTTTCAACTAAAGCTGACAAGGAATACCAAGAACTCGTTTTTAAGCGAAAACTTCCTTATTTGTAGTAAAGCGTGATGACCGTTCGACGGGCTAAGCGGAATTAATGTTAGCAGCACTCGTCTACGCTACATTGGTAGGAACGTTCCAAGCTTTAAGCAGGGCGGGGTATCGAATCAAAGGTCCAATCAACACCAATTTTAAGCATCTACCAACAAATCATGTTTGGCATTGCATCTATTTTGGATTATTTACAATCTATTTTGTAGGCTATTTTGGTCTAGAAATCTTAGAGATTTAGAAAAATATTTGTCCTTTTACGGCCATTATTAGGCCGATCAACATGTACACATCACACAGACTGTGAATATTGTCAACACAGAAAGATTCTCTACCAAGCTCCCGGTTAGTCTTCTGCTTTCTGAAATCTCATAAATTGCCTAAAATTAACCTTTGATTTAAAACAACGGATTAAATGTCATTTTCAGTTTTAACTAAAGTATTTAGGCCTGAAATTAGGAAAAAATTGAAAAAATGTTGATGATTCAATCATATAAATGCGTGGGAAGTGATTGTAATAAATGAATAAAGAGTAAAATTGAAAGAGTAAATGTAATGTAAACCCTAGCTTTTCAAAACCTCTTCACGACCCGAAAATACTATACGGAAAGTAACAAAAATTACAATGATCTCACAATAGAAAAAAATATTAAAAAACGTGCAGCGAGTGAGTGAACTAATAAATAGCATACATAAGCGATAAATGCAGGTAAATGAAGTATTTTAATGTATATATATTTATGTATTAAAAACTATAGAATTCAGAAAGACTCTCTACTACAAGCAACAGAGATTTAATGCTTTACTTATAGATATTGTTTTTGAAACATTTAATTTGGTGACGCACTTTGTTTCAATCTCTAAAAACCTGTTTGTGGATGATGAAATGCAGTGATTCTCAAATGCCTTCCTCCCTGAACCAATCAAAATGTACGAAACTGCACATCATCCAATCACATGCATTGCTCAAATTCGGAAGCCATTTGATACCTCTGAGTCAACGGCACAGTTGTTTGAGTTTCTGAAAAAGGCATTTAAAAGCTTTGATTTCACGTTATAAAAAATAATAATGAAATGAAATGGCCCTTTTTTAAATGAATTATAGTGCAAAAAGAGTAGTTCAAGCTGTTCGGACCAAGACAATAAATATCTTCTTACAACTACTACAGAAGCAATTAGTAATCTTCAAATGTTTCCATTCAGTAGCACTTAATGTCTTTCATCTATCAATTTGATTCGCCTCTGCTCTTAGACGCGTATTTTTCAGCCTTTTTTGTGTTCTCAAGCGTTAATTAAGTACTCGTCAAATGACGTGCTTCTCAAAACTGACGGCCTTGGTCAATGAGTCGAGTATGACGACTTGCACGAACAGCGTATCTCGTTATCTCGACTAGGGCAATTTGCTAGTGAACTAACGATAGTGAGGATTAGGAAAACCCTTTAATTAGGTTCAGTGCCCTTCGTTTTCACTAAGTTGAGAGAAATATTCCAGGTTACACCATGAAACATGGCCAAACCGACCACGTCTATTGATATGTCCGTTAACGTCGTTGACTTCATAATTTAATCTGACGAACTAAACGATTTCAATTAGTATATTTTAGCAAAATAATAATGATAGCCGACGGATTATGAAGTGCCCTGCTTGTTTTGAAGTTTTTTGGTTAAGTAAGAAAAGGAAAAACGTTAAAGACGAACAACGAAATAACTTCTTTTGTCAAATTTTAAGTGAATGTTACTTGCATATATTACTATACACTCACTTTTTTCGTTTCAAAGATGGTATAGAGGGTAACTTCGCGCAGCTTGGTAATCAACGAATCAACAGTTGCTTTGCTACTTGCAACGCCTGAGAAATGTTGTCCGACCAAAAAACGGTTACAAGCAATGATAAAGCAAAATGATCTCATACAGCTGAAGTTGAGGAAGGAATCTTCATTTAAATCGCTTGGAATGTCATAAAGAAGTTCTTTATTCAGTCACTGGAGAAGACTCTTGAAAAGACTTGGAATTAAATGGAAACCGTACCGAGTTTAGTCTTGCATGGGACGTACTGAGAAGCTGTTAATAACTGCCGCTCATAATTTAATTTTCAAGCCGCTCAAACAACTAGCTTTACAAATTTATAAGCATCTTTTTGACTAGACAAAATTTCATTTCGTTCAACTTCCCGGCGGGTCAGTGCAAATACTTTTAATGGTACTTATCTTATGCACATGCTTGCAGATTATTTTTATCTTTATTCTTGATAGTTAAAAGCAGCTGTCAATTCAAATGTTACCCGTATCCACAAAAAAATTTAAAGAAACAAACTCTGCAGTCAGCATTGAAAATCCATTTGCTTCTGGCTTTTGTGTCTAATCTTGCGCAAAGAACTATGGGTAACATTTAGGCCGCCATTTTTAGTGCCGATCGCCTCAATATAAAAAATCTAGTTGTTTATGCAGGCTTAGTTGTAAACTGCAATATTTAAAGTTGTATTTGTTCAGATGGGAACTAATAAGGTAAAGCTAGTATTTCCTTTGCAAAGCGTTGGTCTGACAGATCAAGTGTTTTCAATTGCAAATCCTGTTTCTGATGTCATTGCATTGAGTTGCTTCTTCTCCGCAAGAGATCTGCCACACAGTTTTGTACTGTCTTTACTCATCACCTTCCACGATCAAAACAGCATTTGCACATCATCAACTATACTCGCTGTCACTCTCCTCTTCACTTTAGATCTGTGTAAATAGTTTACCAGAAAGCGATGTTTTATCACTCTTGACATTTCAAGTGTCCCTTGCTGCATGCCTTTCTTGATCGTCACATACCATTCCAGCACTGTTAAATACAGGTCTAGCTTAGTGATTCTTGTTTTTCTTCGTTTTGGCCAATGTTCTTAAAATGTTTCCAAGAAAATTCCATTTCGTTCAACGCCCCCTTCGTCTTCCTAGTTCAAGAACTTTTTTTAGTAACTCTTTCCAAGTTCTTCTCTGGTGCCAAGATTTAATTGAGCTCTGCAGCATGCTCAAAATACTCAAGCTGACAGAGTGTCTTTGAACGTCAGTTCTGAAGTGTCATCCTACATCTGACACAGCTTTGATAACCCCCCAGTTATGGCTTTTGAATTGCCTAATGTCTTCAGCTATTCTTGAACTCCAAAACCAAGTTGACTCGTAAGGAATCTTTGCATCATGCAAAGCAGAACGGAAATTGTTCCAAAATATCTAACCAAGAATTCTATTTTCTGCAGCTTGCATTCTTGTCGGTAAAAATAAAACATAAAACTATATCAATCAAAATATTTTAGATTTTAGAGTATTTTTATTACGCTTTCTTGGAGTTTCAACGGGAATTACACCCTTAACAATTCAAGTGTTTTGTCACAAAATCTGACAGTAGAGCTCTGTGCCAAACAATAAGGAAGTTTAGTTTAGACTCTGTAATTACGTGAAGACTTCACACAGAAAGTGTTTAAACGCTACGATTTTTTAAGAGTAAAAATTCTGCTTCGTTTATTAAGATAGATATTGTAGTCGTAAATGATCACCTCCTGATTTGGGTGTTGATTAAATCAACCATGTTAAGACTCGTGAAAAAACAAATCTTTTACTTCAAGGTCTCAACGGTGTTTATTCTTACTTAAACTTCGCCATTTTTAGTTTTCCAGGGGGGTCGCATTTTGATTATTATCTCTCTGCTTGGGACAGAAAAAATACCTGGAAAGAAAGTTTTCAAGTCCATTATCTTCAACGCAGGGTGCTTTTCCGGCCGTGAGAAAATCCCAGTACATTCTTGGTATTGCATCTCAATTTGAACTCTTGTCAGGTTGGAATATTTTCACCAACTTGACTAGTGATTTATGATTGTTCGTCATCTCAGGTCTTCCGGGGATATGGAAGTTAACGAACTTTACACTTCATTGTCTGTGTGCACGAAGCATGAAATGACCGGGAAACAATTTGTATGCAGACTGAAGTTCTTTTGAAAATTATTGAACTACATCAAATGTATTTTCTAATTACTGTAACGTGTTTCCTGTGTAACGAATAGAATTGTTTGAAGAGAATGAAACATTATCTAATATTCAAGTGAATGCAAATAGATTTTGACATTCCGGCAGCGTGCTTATGTCAAAACGTGGTCATTTAGGTCGTACCTATAAAAGCTCTGACTGATCAGTCCCTGGTCACAGCTGCAAAGCAAAGTTGTAGTTATTAAAGAAATACGTACGAAAACTATGTTAAAATAATGAAGCAAATGGGGAATTGATTTTCTAGGTAAAGGTTTAAAGCGTTGAAAATTCCGTTACTTCCTTTTCTCAACGTAAAAAACCTCACAAGGAACTGGAAGAAACCATGGCCCAACTTCTCCAAGACCTTGTGGGTTTTCGTCGAAATTTCAGAGAAATAACCTTCATTCCCTAAACTAAATTTAGCTACGGTTTTGAACATGTGTTTCACTTCGTAGCACACCAGGAAGCCCTCGTTGCGGATTAACAGATTGATGCTTATTGAAATATGATGTGCTAATTGGGTTAAAGCGCCGAGGTCGATCGATAGCCATTACTCACACCCATATTCCACAGTCAATTTATTTTCATTTGTCATTCGCTCTATTGATGTCAGTAAACTGATTCTGTTTATGCAGCCAAATTTTATCTTAATGAACCAGCTCTTTGTTTGGTATTCCAGACAATGCTCAAAAATCCGTGGTAAATATTTCTTTACGAGATTCACGAAAGACACTGAGGAGAACCTTGCATCTGGCACTTCACCCGAGCATAAGCACCCCGGAAAACCCCTATGTAATTAACTAATTCGTCAATTTTCCCTCACTTTTCCCCTTCCCTGTCCTTTGGCCAGGATTCTCCGATGCCACTGACCCAGTTCACTTATCCGGTTAAAGATCAAGAGCCACGAGAGATCTAGAGCTACAACGGACTTTAGTTCCCACGCCTACGAAACCCAATGCAAACATTTTAGAAAACCGACATGTCAGTTTTATGAATGATGAAGTAACTGCGAACAAACTAAGCTTTTGGGTTTCACACAGCTAGTCACATTGATAAATGATCTGTGAGTTTTATTAGCTTACATTCAAGTACTTCTGGAGCTTTGAATTTCGCAAGCCATACCGAAAAATCCTCAATGTACTTTCGTTCATTTGATTCGTCATCTAGACTTTTGCCTTAAGCTGCTAGGAATGGTTTGTTAGCGTAGTGGGTGGCGATTGTATCATAGATTTCTCGACAATGTGCTGATGGTTTGGGGTAATGATCCACATTTACTTCTACTTTTGACTACTAGTCAACCAGGAAGCAGCTATTTCATAGAGCGAGCGAAGGTCATTAATCCTACATCCACATATACATCCATCTATTGATCGATCCAAGGTTCATGGAGTATCAACTCTTTCAGTGTAGTACACGTTATCAGATCCTCTTGACTAAACCAATGGTTTTATCACAGCTTATGAAAAAAAACACAATAAAAATAGTGGGATTGTTTTGGTTGCTGTTGATTTGGAGATCCAAAGGTTATGATCCCAGATGAACTTGATTCCTCTTGAGATGGTTTATCACTGATTTAGTATTGTATCAAAATAATTAAAAATGGAATGATGGAATCGATGGTTATGTAACTACTAAATATTTTCCTAAAGATTCATAACAATCAACTATCATGTATAGGAAAATAGTCCCTTCCCATCAAAGCTTCAAGTGGAATCCAAAATTGGGCTTTTTCTCCCATTATTTCAACTCCTCTTAAAAGTCTTGAAATAAAGATACAAGAGACACCTTAACAGCAATCTTGTTTTGAAATCACAACGCAAACATGTTTCAATTAGTTCTGGATCGTTTTTATCGCGAACTACGATGCTAGACGAAACATCCTGTTGTTTCTCAAGGTCTATGTAATTAGATGTATCCGGTGGTGAGGGCTTGAATGACACCGTCCGATCCGCCGGGAATATTTCAGCTATGCTGGCAATGACAAGTAATCTCTTTTACCCAAACAGACCGTGTGCTTACATTATTCTAGTGTAAACGGTCACCACTCATGAAAAAAACAAATATTGTCCCGTACTTATGTTAATCTTGCATCACGTTCTGCCGGATGAGTAAACTTAAACAGTGCAAGCAGAACAATCGACTATCAAACACAAAGGCTTCAACTGCTCGAGCCCAAGCTATAAACATCCCTCGGAGCGCTGTCCAATCGGACGCTAGCAAAGGTATGCCGTCTGTGCTATCGAGTTACTGGAGGAACCAATCCTGGGGTTTGAAAACACACGGGTTTTTGATGAAATCACCTCGTCACACACAATCATGCATCAGCCAATTAGTGGCAGTAAAATGACCATTGTAGTAAGGGCGTGACGGTAGAAAAAAGTTAATTGCTACACAATATATAATGTTCGGTCATTTTACAGATTTAAAATGGACTTATCGTAATTCAAGCGAATCAACCTCGATCTCATCAACAAGTACTCACTCTACTGGAAGTTCACGTTCTGCTATCGACCATGCAAATCAGCAGCGCTCTTTGGATTCTCGGCCTTTTGTCGTTAATCAACGCTGTATTAATCCTGCAGTTCTCTGAAGCCTGTTCGGAAATGCCTGATAACAAATTGGACGAGAAGTGGGAAGCTTTAAGAGAGCCTTGGTTGAGAAAGAGAGCGCTGGAAATCACACAGAAACAAATGCTCAATGTTCTAGGACTCACCGAGGTGCCTAGACCGAATCGACGCGTCATCCGTCCACATGCTTTCATGTTGGACTTGTATAAAAGACTGTCGCGCGGAGCAAAGCGCAAGACTACAAAACTAGAAACTCGGCAAAGTATCAACACTGTCCGCGGTGTTGTGGATCAAGGTCAGTCAAGCGGTTATCCCACGCGCGTTTTGCGGCCATATTATCATACAGTCGACGTTAGTGTTGTGATTACAGATTTTTTTCTTGTGGCGGTGTTTTTTGTTTGTTTTTCTGATTTTATGCATAATTTTTTATGTATTACCGTGTGCTGTGAGTATAATTACAAGGGTATTGTATTGTGCGTCTTCAGTAGTAATCTTGCGCTGTTTAAATCTTGTATTAACGTCGCGCTGTTTATATCTTGCAGAAATCTACGACAGGTCAGTTTCACAATCTCATCATCAACTTTACGTGTTTAATCTATCTACAATCCCAAACACTGATAAAATCATCGCAGCTGAGTTGAGGATTTTGAGGAGACCCGAGGCAACTGAGAACAATATCGTAGCAGAGTGCGGGACTGCGTTCAAAGCCGTAATAACTATGAAAAACACCGTAAGAAAACCGTACAGTGACACTGGCCTGGTGACATTGGACTCATTTTCATTTGACATAACCGATAATGAAAAAAGATGGCACGTTTTTACTGTGACCAAAGCTATTCAGAAGTGGAGGGAATCTTCGCGGAGTCTTCATTTTCTGTATCTTGGCGTGGAGTCAGTCTTAAACGGCAAACCCGTCAGCCCTGTTAAGTTGGGTTTCAGCAAAGAAAAACGAATCCACAACAATCGAGCGCTTTTAGTTCTGTTTTCAAACGATGGAAAGACGTCAAAATTCTTGTTGAAAGAAAAAGCTGACAAGGTTGGAAAAACGTTTGAAGGCACTTCAGCAAAAACAAGAAAGGATGATTGGGGAAATCAAGTCGAGGTGGATGGCGAAGCTGAAGAACATGGCTCTTCTAGAGTCAAACGCTCTACAAATGTTGATCAAGTCATGAGGAAACTAAATAGTGGTGGCTCGCGACGACGCAAGAGAAAGAACTACTGTCGTCGTAAGCCATTGTATGTTGACTTTGAGAAACTTGATTGGGGCAGTTGGGTCATCGCGCCGCGCGGTTACAACGCGTACCTCTGTGAGGGACTCTGTCGGTTCCCCCTTGATAAGTACTTACGACCAAGCAACCATGCTACGGTGCAAACTATACTACACACAGTGGATCGGTCAGTACCACCGGTTTGTTGCGTTCCAAACAAACTCAGTTCTATTAGTATGTTATATATTGATCCAGAGAACAACATAGTTTATAAGAAGTATGAGGACATGGTAGTGGATCGTTGTGGATGTAGCTAGTGGAAGGGGGTACGTACGTACATGTGTGCGCTTGGCACTCAGTTGTTCATACGCGACGATACCGACCAAAGATGACCCTAAAACACAAACGAAAAGTGCGGAAAGAGCTGTTCTGTTGTGTGACAAAAAGACAAATGAGCGACTGCTGGGCTTTATTATATCAGGAAACACTCCGTGTCAACAGTCGTATTGAGGATCACCTCGCAAGGCGCGCTCTGTTCTGGAGTGTTGAGAAGAGTATCATTTGCGCACGTGCCAAAAAGATCGTCCAGCGTTTCACCTAGTCAACACTCAGCGATCAAACTTTGAGAAAAACAATGTTGTTGCTCTGGCTTATACCTCGTAATAATAGTCCCGATGCTATCATCACCTAATATCCTAGGGCAATGGAAACAACGTATGATATCTGAAAATGCTTTGAATTGTTTTCGGAAAATATCTCGGAGATTTGACAGCGCGAAACCAAACAAAATCTCAAGTGTTTACTCTTAACTAAAGCCAGAAGCAGGAGACCTAGATAATCGCATGTAAACTGGATTGTTCTGCAGCGACCATCCAACGTCTATAATGAGCTCCCTAGACGGTAGATTAATTCCTAATACTTCAGCGCTTATGCTATGATGAAAGGCCGTAGGGGGGAATATTGATACGAACGTTTGCCCCTCACCGTGATAAATGAACCGCTTTTTTAATCGAGTGATTGACTCAACTTGAATATGGCATTTCTCTAGAGGGATGAATGGTTGTGCGTTGGGGATTAGTGATTGATAAGGTGTTTTCATTTAATACCTCTTAATTATTGGATACATGTTTAGAGGGCTTAGCAAAACGACTGAACAAAAAGAACACAAAAATGCGGCCTCCAAGCCGCCTTTGAGATACTAAACATAAAATCGTTTCATTAATGGCATTTGAAGGTGATAGTATCAAATAGATTAACAACAAGATTGACAGTGTATAATATATACAAATTATCATCATTAATTTATCAGAGTTATAAAAAAATTACGAAGTGAAAATTTGCGATGGGAATTGAGGCCGTGATTCAATTTCTTGCATTGGCCGAAGTCGTTTGGTGATTAGCTGTGAATAATGTGCAAAGCTGCCCGAAAATCTCGAAATTTTAATTGATCAGAGCGGATCTTTTTAATACCGCCTCTATTGAAGCCGTCAATGATCATGTAAATAGAATATGGCTTTATTTATTCCTGTAGCTATTCTTACATGTATGTCTATGCAATACACATGGTGTATAAGTATTAAAGCCTATTCTTACACAGGAAACGACTGTCATTATGAATAAGAGCCATTCACAATGCCAAGTATTGTACGAGTCGAGGCATTTGTAAGACGACTTTGTAAGTTTGGGTGCCACAATGGCAAGCACATTGGCCCATTCTTCGCCGGATATTTCATCATTTCTAAGTCTTTCCCATGCAAATTAGGCAAGAGGAGATTATTTTTATTAAAAATATACAAAGAAATAAACGAAGCTGTCAACTCATGTCAAATCTTCTGCCGTTCTAACTCTGCTTTACCAAGGTCAAAAATCTTAGTAATTAATGACTTTTGAGACGCGTTTTACAAGTGAATGATGCTTCCGTATGAAGAGGCATTCAGTTCGTAGAATTGTTTTTAGACTGCAGAGTGTCGTATTATCAGTCCGTGCTTGCAAGAGTGTTTGAAGTAATTTACTTAACTCCGCCCTGATCAAAGTAGTTCAAAGTTCTTTTAATAGCTGCTCCTACGCAGTGTGCAGCTTCCGTTGGGTAAAAAATTAAAAGTTAGTTATCGTGATATTTATATCAGTAATGGGGGTAAATTGCTATGCAGGCTGTTTAGCCATGCAAGTACCAGAAGTTCTAGAAGACAAAAAAACTTCTTAATCCTGCACGCCAGCGATTTATTCACACTAGATTATAAACTCTAGTTGTAGAACCAAACGATTTATAAAGCCTTTGCCAACTTTAGATCCCAATTAAACCCATGATATGATTTCGTTAATTGATTTTATTGAATGGTTGTACGTCCACAGCAGGGCGCGGATGGAGAGTACTTTTCAGCGGTTCTTGGAATAAGTGATGCAAACGACTGATTATTACAGTGAATGTTTTTCGTCAGTTGTTACGTGTATGTACCCCTTAGATTGCCAGTCCAGTGACAAGGTGATCGTTTTAATAACCATCCCTTGTCGACACACTCCAACAGATCAACCTTCACTGGGTACGGCCTTTTTTTTTTTTTTTTTTTCTTCTCTGAAACGACTGATATTTTTCCCATTTTTTCAAATTACCCCTGACAGTTAACCAAATCTTTGCTAATCAGTAATAAGGCATAATAGGTGAAAGAGTTTTTTTAAAACACAGACTTAACTGGTTTTCTAGTATCAAAAACATTATTTTTGAACCGCTTAGGCCATCGTTGTTCAGAGTGATACGCAGCTGGAATTTGAAGTTCCGTGCAAGGCCGAGTCTAATCTCCTCAAAAGGTACCGCCTCTCCCTATATTCTGTTTCTAATACCGTTCAGTATACGAAGAAGACTTCGACGTGTGACCAGGTATAAAGGAGACTTAACTCATGGCTTGAAGAAAAATCGTTTACACTGAGTCAAGAGCTGTGAAGCCAGTCTTCTCAAAAGATCTTCAGCTCAAGAAAAACTATAGTATTTGTACTTTGAAGCCAAGAACACGTGATTAATTAATCCACTCGACTTATTCTTCACAGAAAGAGCACATCTTATTTAATCTGCTATATTTTTTTAGATATTTGTCTAGCTGCTCTTGAGAACAAGTTTTCGTCGAGTGGTGAGAAACACCACGGTCAAGAGACTTTGCAATGGCTTCCGAGATTACGCATTGTGATTGGATGGTTTTACGCTTCCGTGCCTTTGATTGGTTAGGAGAGGAAGTCATTTAAGAGTCACTACCGGACGGACGTTTCCCATTCATACGAAAACTGTTTAAAAATGAATAAGAAAATAACAATCTACTCGTAAACGCCTACCAAAATGGTAAAAATAGTAAGCAATTTTGAAAAGCAAAGCAATACGACTTTGGGAAATGAATTAAATCTCTCTTTTCCTGAAGGAAAAAAAAAAAAAAAAAAAAAAATTGTTGCTGCCGTGAACGGTTTTCTATAATGCACGTCAAGCGAGGGTTTCTGATGTTTCGCTCAGTTGATTTTTGCGGCGTGGCTTTCGTGCCGAGTTCAACTTTGGTTTAAGCCCTTTGTTGACCAAAACCTTCATTTTGTTTGCACTAAAACAGTAATCATCGATTTGATCCCTTTTATAAAGAGTTAAGGTTTAGAGTGATTTACTTAACTATGAATGCCATTCAAGGGACCGCAGACGGTTCAAAAACATTGAATGGCTAGCCATAGGGAGCCCAGCTGAAAAATATGGCGACCAATTCGAATAACTATTATTCTGCACTGACTAGTCACTGATCACTAGCCTTGTGTTCACATGGAAGTATAAAAGCGGTTCCATATGTATGAAAGGCTAGTCAGTCGCTTGTATTCAGTGCAGAACATAATTATTTCGATTCAGTGTATTACAGTCAAATAGACCCTTTTCGAGTTCCAAATTACTGCTGTGTTTCTTGATTACAGACTCATTTGTACAGGCTAAGCCTCGATTTTGTGAAGAATATTCACGTGTTCCAGTCAAGTTCCGTCAAGTTTCAAAGTGTTCGTATTGTTGAAGTTGTGCATTCTAGTACTTTACCGTTGTTATTTGGAATATTTAGACACTGATTCGAGGCTAAGCCTGAGTAAATGAGTCTGTAATCAAGAAACACAGCGGTAATTTGGAACTCGAAAAGGGTCTATTGCGGAATAAAAATTCAAAAAGGAGAAATCAAAAACAAATGTTTTATCCAGAGCTATAAATATAAACTTGGGATCCCTGTGTTGTGTATTGCAGAGTCTGCAGTCAAATATTTTAGCGTGTTGGAGTTACTTTTGCGAGGCTAATGGGTCAATATGATGCGAAACTGACAGTAATCGCTGACGACCGTTTTTACCATTTGACTAATATAAATATTATATTGTACCGTTTGAAGAAATCTTTGCAGGAAGAAAAGACGGAGGGGAGTGTCATCTTCATCAGCATCTTCATCATACAGTTCATTATACCGCATAATCAAACGCGGGACAAAATACCTCGTAATGAACTTGTAACAAAATCCCTCCTGTTTTGGGAATTATTTTATATATTATTGTATTTTAACGTCGATGATAATTTTTTGCGGGTTGAATCGCATGCGATGAAATCTGCAGTTCATTCACGTAACCCGACACATGTTCTCAACAAATTGTCCTATAAACACGCTCCTGTGAAAATCCGATTATACTTTAGAAACATTAGAACTCAGCGCAGAGCTCATATCTCATCCAATCAAAACGCATGCCCGAGGAATTTTGATATGTGATCGGGTGCGCGGTTAATTGAGAGCAATAGAATACGTCACCCGCAGGCAACCCAACACATCTTAATAACATACCGCTGTGACCTGCGTTTTCAAGGTTTAGTGTTCTAATAGCAGGGAGCTTAATAAACAAAGGGCTGCCGATCGGTGATTAGATATTTACTACTCTTACTAATATCACAAATCTCCGTTTCAGAAACCACTATGACCTCAAACCGGTGTTAATTTATGGAAGATCTACTGACTCGTTTCATCACTCTGTCTTCGTTCTATTTCACTACCAGATGTTTTATTCTATTTTTAAGGCGTAGTGGTTATTTTAGTGAGTTATGCACGGCCCTTCTCAATATATAAACACATTTTGCGTGCCCTGCGTACTTTAATGGGAGATTATTATCTATGTCCCATTTAGACGAGCGAAAAACATTTTTTCTCATAACTAATGAAGTAATGATGATGGAATTTGCTATTTGATGCTTAAACTACCAATTTAGAGAGCTTATTACCCAATTCCTGTATATCTATGTATATCTATATCCACGCATGTCATTTCCCGTTCCCCGTCCCCCTTCGGCGCCACGTACGGTTGTCATCGAAGCTCCAAATCGCCTGGCTTTCGTGGTCAGTTCTGAGCGAGACTAAATATACTTGGTTTTAAAGCAAAATATCGTGACAATCGTGTTACTGTGAGGCGCAATCTAGATTAGGGAGGGAGGGGAGAGTAGGGCGAAGGCCACTGGACTTTGAGCATAGGATGAATTTTAGGAATCCCATTAATCAATCTTAATGGGTATGAAAACAGAGTCGATTATTTCTTGCCTGTGGCACTTGGAGCTAGCCATGAATGTCACAATCCATTCTGGTACTACCCCGGCAATGCATTTTCAGCAAAGGGTGGTGTCAACGCAGAGCATGAACAATTCATTCTTTCCGTACAGTCATTCAGCTAGTCATTATGTAGATGACTCCAAAAAACTTCAATTATCACTGATGCACCGATGTTCGAGATTCATGCTTGAATACAAATGTTAGCCCATGGCATACAAATCAACTGTTAGCGTAGATTGACGTCACGATTCATTAATTCGCTTTTTTGACTGATTCAAAGGGAGACAAGTAAAAGACCTCTTATGGTTCGGGTTGGAGATGAACTTACAAGAGGGAAACAGAAAAAAGCTAGCGGTAGACATCATTCAATCAGACAATCAGGAAAAAAACGCCTTTTATATTAAATCAAAGAACACAGCCATATTTCAGTGCAAAACACAACAAATGTCTATTGCGCATATTCTTTGTGATGAAATTATGCACTTGTATAGAGCGTTTTCACGTGACGTCACAGCGGCCATTATGGGGTACCAAAACAATACATTTTCTATCCTCCGGGAATTGAACTCTATTTTCATGCAAAGGCTGTGCAGAAAGTTCTCTATTGTTTATGGCTGCCTTCTCACGTGAGTGAAAACGCTCTATATGTATATGAATTAATGCTTGTATATGCATCTGCATGGCCGAGAAAATCACAAGTTGTAATACAGTAGCTGTTAGTCGCACATTCCAAAGATGCGCAATTGAACCACTTGCCTCACTTTTATGTCAAACTGTCGCTGTTGTAACATCGATAATGCGCCATTTCCGCAAACGTTTCTGGTATTATGTAACACAGTTTGTCTTGCCAAGGGATGTTCGTCTACTTTTTACAACTGAAAGAAGGGTACAGAATGGTAGGTAGACCATATCATTGTTATCGGGAAAGACATGTCACCCGGCTACAAGCTACAAATGCAAAAACATCCTGTATACCAATCTTACACCTACTTCTCGTTCGCACGTTTTTCGTTTCAAAGTATTACATATACTTATTTCAATAAAGCTAGTCACCAAAAACCTAGAAAGCTGTGATCGCTGAGAATCATGGGAAAT